TGTCTGATTGGATTAGGCCTTTGATTATTATTTTTCTGAAAACTCTTCCTTTTGTTTGAGTTTCTGCCAGGTTCATTAGTTCTCAAACTGTGTTTTGGTTTGGCCTTTAGAGTTTGTTTCTCTGGTGTGACCTTCTCATGAACAACCTTAGTACCAGAAGTACTAGCATGGCAAATGGGGCTCAGAGTCTGTGGCACTGTGACCTTTTTAGCCTTAGCAACTTTGGTGCTAGGCCTTACAGAAGGCTCACCAGACTCTGGTTCAACATATCCAAGACCAGAGGTGAAGTTATGAGAGTCACCAATATTCTTCATGGAAGATTGCATCTTCAGAAGACTATTATATCTACTCTCAAGTTCTTCAATATCTCTTATTCTTTTAAGAAGAGACTCATTTTCAGCCTTCAGTCTATCTCTTTCCTCAGTTAAGAGATTAAGTTTGCACTCAGTCTCTTTCCTTAGATCAGAGATATCAACTTTCAGCCTACTGTTCTCATCTTTAACAGAAGAATAAGTGGCTTGGATAGTTTGGAACTCTTCCCAAAATGATGACATTGGATCATCATTTAAGGCTGTGCCTACCGAAGAAGAAACAGAGTCAGAAGTAGAGCATACCTCATCATCAGATTGTGCCATGAGGCAAAGGTCTTCAGTTTCTGCATCTAAGCAGCAGAATGCTTCATCAGAGTCGGAGTCTGAGCTGGACTCAGATTCAGAGAGTGGATCTCTCTCAGCTTGCTTTGAGATGAATGCTCTTCTTCTTCTGTGTTGATCATCTGGTTTCTTTTCTTCTTCATGTCCTTGTTTCTTGGACACTCTTGGATAAGGGCAGTTTGCTTTGAAGTGCCCAGGCTGTCTGCAGTTGTAGCAGAGGTACTCTCCATTGCTTTCAGAAGGTTTGGTCTTCTGATGAGGTCTTCTGATGGAAGATGGACTCCTTCCATCTTTCTTCATAAACTTCTTAAACTTCCTGGCAAAAGCAGCCATATACTCATCAGATAAAAGAGTAGAAGGGTCAAAGTCACTTACCTTTGAGGTGCTGGCAGTGAGAGCAGTGGTGGTCCTTTCATCAGGAGCTTCCTCCTTCTCTTCATGCATCTCAAACTCATAAGCTTTGAGATCAGAAATGAGTTTCTCAGTGGCATAGGTCTTGATGTTCTTGCTTTCTTGGACAGCAATCACCTTCATCTTCCAAGCTGAAGGCAGTCCCCTCAGGATCTTCATGTTGACTTCTTTGATAGTGAGCTCCTTTCCAAGCTCAGAAATCTCACTAATGAGAATCAGCAGTCTCTCATGCATCTTAGCAATGCATTCTTCTGGCAGAAGTTTGAAGTCATCAAACTTCTTCATAGCAATGGTCAACTTGTTATCTCTTTCTTGTTCATCTCCTGCTCCAATCTCATCAAGCTTGTCCCAGATTTCTTTGGCAGTTTTGCACTTCTTGATTCTGTTGAAGTATCTTTCATCAATAGCCTTGTAAAGGATGTCCTTGGCTATATTATCTAGATTGTACTGCCTCTTCTCTTCCTTGGTCCATTCTGACCGGGCTTTCTCAATCATCTGGGGCTGAGAGTTATCAATGGAGTGAGCAGGATTGATCTTCATGAACTGGATAAAGGGTCCATTCTCCAAGACTTCCCACATTTCATCATGAAGAGCACACAGATGTGCCTTCATTCTGATCTTCCAATCATCATATTTCTGATCTGTGAACATTAGATGCTTTGCAAGAGAGTTATCCATAATAACAACTAAATAGAGGCTAAGAACAAGTGGATCTTTGTTCAGAGAGTAACCTAAAAGATTACAAGAACAAGGAGGCTCTGATACCACTTGTTGGTCCCGTTTAATATGGTAACCAGTCTAGAGGGGGGGGGGGGTGAATAGACTGGTTGGTTTTTCAAAATTTCTCTAAGTCAAAAGTGACTTATCAGAGAAGGTCTGATTCTGATGACAGAGATAGGCTGGTTCTGATATCAGAACTGGCCTTGGCAGCGGATTCTGATCTGTCCGGGTAGCCTCAGAAACACTAAGGCAAATGCCTTTCTGATAGCTCTTAAAACAAGATCTGCTGAACACAGATTCCAAGTCTTAGAGTTAATCAGTTAATATCCTAAGTGCAGAAATGAAAATTGCAGTAAAGTAAATGACACCGGATATTTTATAGTGGTTCAAGGAACAACTCGTTCCTCTAGTCCACTGTTCCACTAGCTTTGAAGTAGATCAGTTACAAAGCTAATTCCTAGCACTTTAAGAAGCACTCCTCGTCTTCTTCAAGCCTAGATGCCACCCAGGATGCAATTCCACGTCCTGATGGCTGGTCCTTTCACTCAGCTTCCCGGAAGTATCACCACTTCACTACTGCAGTTACTTGGACGCCCTTCTTTTCAGAAGATGTTCTGAAAACAGAGTTTTCTCCAACTTGCTTCGTTACAAGAGATATGTAGTTGAAGTTCTTGAAGTGTTGAAGAGCAGGATGAACTTTGCTCTTGTTGGGGATAAGAGATTGTGAGATTGAATCTTCCCAACGTAAGCTTTTTCTTGTTTTTGTGTTGTGGAGTTTGAATCTCAAGAAAGCTTGAAACTTTTGTTGAGCAAAAGTTGTAGCAAGGTTTTTATCCCTGTTCTTCGGTGAGTAGCTTATATACTGGGGTTGTCTGCCCGTTGGAGGAGGAGACAACTGCATTAAATGCGCGTACAGTTGACTTGACCGCCGTTTTGGAAGGTTTCTATTTTTATAATATATCTTCCCGGATTCCTTGGTCAATCATTTGCAATCAATCCTTCAGCGTATCAGGCTCATTTAATGTGCATTAAATGCTTTCCTTTCATGCATAGTCTTCTAGCCGTTGGATGTTTTTACCCGTTGAACTCATAGCTGTTGGATGTTGCTTGAAATCTTTTAAGTGTTAGTCGGGCTCTGATCAGGTTCTTCTGACGTGTTGGATTCTGATGGCCTTCTGATGCGTTGAGTTCTGATGGCTTTCTGATCTCTGATAGAACTCTAACTCTGACTCTGATAGGTCCGCTGATGAGTACCTCTGATCTGTAGTTCTCATCGGTTATCAGATGTCCAAGTTTATCAGCAACTCTCATAGTGCAACTCTGATGGACTTCTGCTAAGAGAACTCTGATGGAGCAGTTCTCATAGAGCAAGTCTGGTCGAGCAGTTCTGATGTACTTCTGATCTGGTCCAAAATAGAGCAACTCTGATCGTCGACTACACTAATACTTACAATTTGAAAATTCTAATACATAAAATCTAATTTGGGGGTACTTTAAAATTCTAATCCTATAGCATCATCAAAATCCAATTACATTTATTCCTTACACTATGAGAACTCTAAGATTAGTAAGGAGCGTACCAAAGCCTATCATGATCGGCATATTAAACAGCGAAAAGAGTTTTGTAAGGGGGATCAAGTTTTGTTGTTCAATCCCCGAATGAAAATTTTTAAAGGAAAATTGAAGTCTAGGTGGTCCGGTCCTTTTGTAGTGAGCGAAGTTTTTCCATACGAAACTGTTGAAATTGACCATCCTGAGAAGGGCCGTTTTAAAGTTAACGGCCATCACCTGAAGAAATACTACGGAGGACCGCTAGAACGTGAGCGTGAGGTGACCTTTGTCACGAATTTGGAGAGATGAGTGTGTAGTTGCGTCGGGCAAACGACGTTAAAAATAGCGCTTCTCGGGAGGCAACCCGAGCTTAATTTGTGCTTCAGTAGTTTAGTTTTTTTTACTTTTCAAAAAACCCACAAAAACCACAAAAAAAAAGAGGATTTTGGCCGGGCACGGTCGTGTCTGGGCAGGCACGATCGTGCCTGCAATGAAGGATGAGATGCGAGCTTACTGCCAGCCGGGCACGATCGTGTCTGGCTGGAGGCACGATCGTGCCTGGGACGTGAGGGGAAGGTACTTACTGCCAGCCAGGAACGATCGTGTCTGGGCCAAGCACGATCGTGCCTGGGCGATTTTACCAGAATACCCCCGCGACTTAAAATAACACCCAGCCCCTTCCCCTTTCTTTCTTACGTGATACCAACGAAGCCTCCCTGCGATCTGCTCTTCCTCGACGCCAGCTAACCGCGACCAACTCCACAACCACCGCCACCGCCGCACACCACCGGCGACCGCCGCACCTCCGACCGACCACCCACATCTCCTCTCTCTCCTCTCTTCACTCAAGGTATATCTCTTCTTCTCCAACCTTCTTTACTCCATCATTACTAGAAAAGTGGTCTATAGTGACACTAAATTAGTGTCACTAAAAATTTTAGTGACACTTAGAAAGTGTCAACGAATGGTGGGAGTTGTGACACTAAAATTAATGTCACTGTAAAAGTGTTACTAAATTATGACACTTTGGTATCATAAAATTCAGCGATACATTTGTATTGTAAATATTAACGACACCTTGGTATCATACATAATAGTGATACACTAGTATCATACTTTGTATAATACTGTGTGTGTCTATAGATATACATACTAATGGATTGGTCTCATAATATAGATATTAGTAAATAATAGAAATACCAAACAAGCTTTTTATTAATAATTTAATAAAACAACAATCTGGCATTTTTAATGCCAATACAATATCACAATATCCAACCAAATAATGTACAAGTACTAAACTCTACTACAATCAAACTACAATTCCTCATAAAAGTAAAGACTTGGTGATATCTTGGTGAACATAATTATCCTTCCTCCTTTGAGCCGAAAAGTCTAGAACTTTTTTTGTCATCTGCAGCAGCAAGAACAACAATAATGATAAAAATAGAGATCAATTTGGTTAACATTAGTTTATAAAATAATAATAAACAATTTAGTGGAGGATAACACAGATTACCATTTGAGATGGAAACAGAGGTGGGTGAGCTTGAGGGTCCATGGCTGATAGCTAAAATGCTATCCTTGAGAGCATCTAAAAGTAATATGTACATCTTTGTTGAATAGGGGAAAAAACAGCAATGGCATTGGGAAAGGAGGAGGAAATGAGAACTTAAAGATGGCTTCTCACGAGGTCTGCAAATATGGAACAAGGAACGAAGGTCAAATGGCTGATAGCTGAAATGCTTTCTTTGAGAGCATCTAAAAGTAATATGTACATCTTTGTTGAATAGGGGAAAAATAGCAATGGCATTGGGAAAAGAGGAGGAAATGAGAACTTAAAGATGGCTTCTCACGAGGTCTGCAAACATGGAACAAGGAACGAAGGTCAAATGTGACTTCGTTTCTTGTTGTTCTGTGCACTTAACCAAACGACGTTGTTTGGCGGATTGGATTAATTAAAAAAAAAACAGCCTGCTCGGTCTCTGCGTATCTGCCTTGCTAGATCTCGCACAACAGGTATCCAACGAAGAAGATGAAGCTTATGGGGTGGCGCCGGCACAGGCTCACACCCCCTGGTTCTGCCCCTGAGTAGAGTCATTCCTTGTGCACTCTATTAAGGCAAGTTGTTTACTTCTTAATGGTCTGTTGATTGAATTTAACCTGCACATTTTTTTTCCTGCAATGATACAAAAAGCATTAAAATATAAAAGTGGGTGAATGTAATTAGTTTTTTTAATTGCCAACAAAAAAATTATCTATGGAGAAATAGAGATGACTAATTGACTAGCAGTCACTTTCAACTTAAACTATCTATGAATGATATTATTAGAGCATTGGTGCTTTCACTTGGAGATGAATGAGCACATTATCTATCAACTGTGAAGAATGAGCTGGGTGTTGTATCTTGCATATCTAGAATTCTTCAAACCTAAAAGATGTAAGTTAGAATGAAAAATATCAGGAATAAAACATTGAACACTCAACTCTAAAACTAACGCTTGTGTTATACGGAATATATCTTAGGCCTCACTCGGAATGGCTTATTATTAGCAGAGAAAAGTGCTCTCCCGAGGAGTGGGTGTTATACTCATGTCTGGGATAAATTCTGTTAGCAACTACACAAGGAATTGAAAGTACCATTTGGTTAAGCTTTAAGACAAACCTGTTTCAGTGTTGCTGAAGTATGGTATTGTGGCTGCTGAAACTGCAAACTTATTTGCCAGGTAGAATAAGAAATTGAATTGCAAATATAAACAAATAAATGAATTGAAAAAATCTCTCTACAAGTAAAACAAGATAAGTATTATAAAGTTGTGCACCACCAACATCCAATGATAACTAAATAGATTTTGTAAATTGCTATATTTATTAATTAAACTAAATTAAAAACCAGTAACAATTACACTTCAATTTTGATGGGAGTAAATAAGTATCACTTCATCATACTTAATTAGATGATCTTTTGTCTCCAAGTTTGATAAGAACTAGATTAATGTCCAGGTCATGGTAATTTTCCACAGTTGGCTCGATTAGTTCAAAACTTTATGTTGAATTGAGATAAAACTCCCTTGAGAGAGTATATGCTCTCTGGCACTTAAAGTGCTTTTCTTTCTTCGCTCCACACTTAAAGTGCTTTTCTTTCTTCGCTCAATTCCTCCATTAGGTTATTTTTAAGTAAATACTACTCCGCATAAAACACTTAAGGAAAAACATCATTGAACATACAGACACACGATAAAGAATTAGAAGAAAAAGAAGGAAGAAAATGGGAAAAACAGTCTGCTGCTTTATTCCAATTGATAAGTGCAACTTCTGCAAATTCTGTGAAGAACTGAAGACAAATGACAATAAATTTAGAAAACAATCAACCAAACAAAAATTTACCTATAAATTAGTAAACATTCAACCTGATGAAAGTGGCTCTTCATATATCCGTGCAAAAAAAATGCTCTCGTTAAAGACCTGCAGAGAAGACAAAATATTAGTCAAGTGTTAGAAAAATTAACTAACTAAAGTCATCCATTAGAGTCTTGAGCTCAACGTACTACAAGATGAATACTTGAGTTAAAACTATCTAGTTTAGTTAACCTAGCTGCACAACACATAGTAGCTATAGAAAGCAAAGTAGAGAACAACAAACCTGCTACAGGAAGCAAACCAAAGAGAGCACCAGCAACACTAAGCAAACAAATTAAACTAATATTCTTATTGAAATGAGAGTGATATCACTTACATGTGCTGCGTGAGTTAAACAGCTCGGTAAAGACAAAGATGGAAAGCCATTTATAATTCCACATCTAGTCATAGAACTATAAAATACATTAAAATAATACCTTCTAGAACGCCACCAAAATGGGATAACATCAGTACTGATGGCTTCAAGAAGATATATTGCATTCAAGACTTGGTCCTGGAAGATTATCAGTACAATATTCATGAGGAGAAGTGTAAAATGTAAAAAAAACTGTAAATAAATTTCAGTTTCAACACATGGAATGAGGCAATTTGACAGTTCAACCTAAAGAAGTCTCCGGATTTTTATTACATAGCTTTAAGGGCAGCACTCTGGACATACATTATTTAAACTAGGCTACCCGACACAGAAAATACAGAAGTTACATAACACAAGAATCACAATGAAGAGAAGAGCTCTTCTCCGCTGCCTGGGGAGTGAAAATGTATAGTTCAGAGCCGTGAGGCTTAACCTGAGCACTGAATGATCTTTTGGTGTTCTCTGAAACCACTTCGTGTTTCCATAAATCTCTAACGGAGACGGTGACAGTATGTTGAAGTCCAATTGCATCCCACTGAGCAGAAATTGTTGCCTCTTCTGAGCATCGGTTCCAAAGTGCTACCACAAAACGGTTTCCAGACAATGGCCCAACCCAAACCTCCTGGCACCCATCTGCTCCAGCGAAATTGTTGACTCTTAGATGTGTTCCTAAGAGTCGATTTAGACATTTAGAGAAGATGAGAGGACTTACCGGCAGAAAAGAACTCGACAGTGAAAATGTTGGGGAGGAGTACGTAAGGCAGCTGGGCTTCCTCAATCGATCGATCTAGAAGTTAGGGTTCTTGTTCTCAGGACTCGCAGAAAATATTGATGAGGATATTTGATGGTCCCTGATAGAGGTAAAAGTCTAGAGGGGGGTGAATAGACTTTTAAAGCTTTTTCGGTTTTAAGAACTCTTCCTCTCTAGATGAGTTGATCTATAATCTTTTGGGAGATTAATAGATGCACAGCGGAAGTCTTTAACCTCTTGATTATCAGTATGAAACAACTTTCTAGTTCTGGTGATGTTTGGACTTTAAATAGTGAGCAGTTGGCTTGGCAGTTGCCTGGATGGCAGGGAACTGCTGAGGTAACTGCTAATGGAAAATAGGAGTTTGGGATTGATGATTATATGGCCTTGTACAGAATGATGAGGGCTTACTGAATATATGCTGAGTTGGAGATGAAAAGGGGTTTTGTCTGAGCAGAGGTCTGAGCAGTTGGGTAGACTCAGGAAACTGCTAGTCACCTGCCGAGTATGAAGGAAGTATTTCTGAGAACTGGCAAATAAGACCTTTTAGTAGTGGTATTCCAAAGCTCGTGTGAAACAGTTGTCTCAAGGAAAAGTAAGTTATTAAGCAGTAGGATAAGTAGTAGAGTCAATTAAGACTACTGCTCAGGATGCTGCTAGCAAACTACAATCCTTCTAGTGAGAAGTGTTGGGTGTGTGCTTTGTTGAGTAAAGAAGAATCAACACACGATGTATCCTGGTTCAGAGGTGGTGTAATCCTCCTACATCCAGTCCCACCCTATTTCAGATGGATTTCCACTAAAGTATTAAGCCCAATACACTTAGTGCCAATCTAGCCTTTACAACACTCAGGCCTAGATTGAAGGTTTTTCACGATGAGTATAACACCACTCAAAGTTACTCAGTCCTTAGACTTTTCTCAAATGATCCAGTGGGGATCAAAAGGTACTCTATCTATCTAACCACACTTTAGGATCTGAACAACTGTTCTCCTAAGTGTTTACAACCACTTGTGAAATGTTTCACGAAATTTCTGGCCACCAACTAAAATCTAAGCTCTACAAATATAACAATGTATGATCTAGTCTAAGAGCTTAGTGAAGCATGAGTCAAAGCAAAGAGTGAAGTTGTGATCAAGCACTTTCTCCTTTGCTAGATATACTTTGTGATTATAGAATCTCTTTGCTTTGAACTCAATGACTTAGTTTTTAAACTCATGCCTCTGCCTTTATTTATAGGCATCTCCGGTAGGTTAAGTTCATCCGTTGGTTGAGATGATTTAATCTTGTTCGTTGAATCTTGGTTTCAGAAGATAACAACTTGTTACTTGTCTTCTTCTTTGGAGCTGGTTGATGATCAACTTGTACGTAGGATATGTTGGCCCATACCCTAGGTTTAATTTATCTTCGATGTTCACCTAGTCATTAGGTCTTTGGCATTGTCTTGCAACTACACTCGTGTAGTAAAGTGTGTGAACCAGCTATATTTGTGTAGTAAAATATGTGACTCAGGTTATTTTGTACCAAACAAATTTTGTACTGGTAGGATCTTTAAAATATCCCATTTAAGGTAAAATGAAAAATTACCTTATTGCATTTTGTTCTTTCCAGTACAACTTAATTGGTACAAAATATTACAATCAAATTTGTCACTTATTTTACTGATTACTCTCTTTTTAAAGTGACATGATTAATCTATGTATCAAATAAAATTATACTGGTTGGATTTAAATATCCATGTAAGGTAAAGACATTTTTACCTTATTGCATTTTATTCTTTCCAGTATATTTTATTTGGTACAAACATTGTACATTTGTTGTGTTACTTTTGGATAACTTTAAATGCTATTGCACGAATTAATTTAGACACAATATACTAGTGCAAAGTATAGTGGCATCATCAAAATCATCAGAGTTGGGACTAACAATATTTTAGTAAGTGATGGCAGAAAAACAACAACCTAGTGTTAGAAATGTTAAAAAACTCGATCTGCCTTCGTGCGCACCCGACCCATAAGCGGAGTTCAAATAAAAAATTGTCATTAGTTATTGATGATATTTTTGTGTTGGAAAATAGTGACACTTTTGTGTCATTAGTGGTATTTTATTCAAAAGTGTCACTATAAAAGTGTCACTGTAAGCCTGTTTTTTACTAGTGCATTAATGGTGTTCAAGCTTTTAGTCTGAATTGCATGTGCTCAACTCTTAGAGATTTTGATTTCTTTGTTCAAATTGAGGCTTGAATTGATGTTATTGATGTTCTATGTTGATGGATTGGCCTATTTTGCTTGAAATCCCTAATTTTTGAGCTAATTTAGCCAATTTAGGGTTCAAATTTGTTGAATGTGAAATAAATTTGGGGATTTTGTGCTTGTTGCTTGAATTAAGGATCGAATTGTTGCTTGAGATGTTCAATAGTTGTTGTTGAGTCTATTTGAGAATAAATCTCCAATTTTTAGGCCAAACTTTGTGTAAATTGAGAATTGTGAGTTCTTCCCCTATTTTGATCTCTTTAATTCTTTTGGGAAGAACTACATTCTACAAACATTGCTTCGATGAATGATGCTTGCTTGTGACCTTGTTTATACCGTGTGTCGTGAAAACTTGAACTTTATTCAAAGAACTTTTCTTTGATAAAAGTTCAAACTTTTCAACTATTCTGGTTAAACTTGGGTATGTTCTAAAATGATGATGCTCTTGGTTGATTAATTGCTGACAGGGGCCATTGCAATAACTTATGAGTTTGGTTCTAACACTTGGATGCCCCATTGGAATCCTTGTTTTTTTATTTGTTTTGACAAATGCCGCCGAGACAAAAGCACACCAGAGGTGCAGGGGCTGGTTCTAGCAGGGCTAACGCTGGCCGGGTACCAACCTAGGTTCCCGCAACTTAGAGATGAGCTGAAGTACACAGAGCTGCTACAGAAGAACATGGGCACATTTTACTACCCCGACGAGGGCGTGCTCGCTGAAGCAGGGGTAAGGACAGAGGTGATGCAGCTTTTGGGCCGAGGATGGTGGAGGCATCTATTCTTCGGGATTAGAGACCCGACATTTAGGGAGATCACTTGCGAGGTATTAGCTACATTCAGGACGCCCAAGGTCCTTGCCCCGGAGGACAACCATTGGCCAGTCATTAAGTTCCGGGCTTTTGAGGAGAACCACTCCATTACCATTTCTGAGATGGAGTATCATTTGGGTTTCACGAGGATTGAGGACAACGGCCAACATGAGGCCAGAGCGTACGACTTTCCACCTAGCGTCAACCGCCAAGCTTTTTGGGATTCTATTTCGAGAGAGGGTGGGACGTATAGGCCGAAGATGTCCCCTAGCACACTGCTTTATCCACGCCAGTACCACACCATTCACGGCCTTCTTTCCTCCACTGTCACTGACAAAGCCGAGGTTGCCGGCAAGGTCACTTCTACCGACCTATTCTGCCTCTACTGTATGATCCATAACCGCAAGCCCCACATGGGCTATCTCATCGCCAAGCTCCTCCACCGTCAGGCCACGAACCATATCAAGGCTATCTATGCTGGCCCGTTCATCACACGACTTCTGACCGGGATGGGCTTTGGAGACCGGTTTCAGAGGATGGAGGAGAGCTCCAGTTTTCTTACGTTGACCAGACTTCCTACGGTCAACACTGGAGTGGCGAGGAGGAGGGCACAGGAGCAGCCGACAGCATCAGCAGGAGGAGGACACCGGGCAGGTGATGATGATGATGATGATGATGATGATGATGAGCATGACGACGTTGAGGGTGATGAGGAAATGGAGGACGCTGCACACGACGTTCCCTATGATGCACCCCCTACGTCAGCACTTTTCCTGATACTTGGGCGGGGATGCATGTGCATCAGGATGTTGTGTATCATCAGATGTCTACTGAGCAGCACGAGCGGTTCGACCAGATGCGTTTTGAGCAACAGGACTTTTATCGCGAGATGCGGGAGGATAAGGCGATGCACTATGCACAGCTCCAGTCCCAGTACACACAGATTGATGAACAACTCACTTCTTTGGAGTCTAGATGGAGCTCATTCTTTGACGCATATCCGCCCCCGCCCCCCCCTCCTGAGTATTAGATCTGATTAGATTGTCCTCTGTTAGCCTTTGTATTTGATTTTGTTGGATGACTGTACCCTAAACACTCTCACACTCTCACTGTTACACTTAACTCTTTATATTGTTGTGCTTTGTTGTTTAATGATGTGTTGCAGCTCAAACGAATGCTTGGTGGATGATGTGCCGCGAGATCAAAGACCCAGTTTAGTTCCAGACCGACCAACGCTTTAGGGAAGTTTCAATGACTCTTTTTACTCGCTGTGTAATGCTGACTTGAGTTAATTTTGAGCACGCGTGACCCTTTCCTCTCTACCCCTAGTGCATAGTGCATATTTGGTCATCGAGGGCGATGCCAAAGTTCAAGTGTGGGGGAGTGAATTGGGCATTCAGGCAGTAGTTGTTACATGTGATTAATTAGAGTTAGCATGCGCAAGTGTTAGTTGTATATTCATAGGAAAGTCGATCATGTCAAAATTTTTGAAATTTTTTCTTTAAACTGTGTCTTTGTGAGCTGGCTAGCGTTTTGACTATGCTTTTAGAACATCATTGAAGTGTTTAGGCTTAAATTGCTTGCACTATAATCTAGTTGTTGAAAGGATGAAAGCATTAGTCACCCATTGAATTTTTCATTAATCATCCACCCTACCTGAATAAGTCCTTTATGAGAAGCCACTTTGAGCTTGACCGTTCTTTGCTACCCAATTAATTGAGCTCCATAGCCAAATGGCCTGTTTCCTTACCCGTGAATATTTCTGGCTTAGTCTTGATGTTTAGGAAATTAAGGGATGAATTTGCTAAGTTTAGGGAATTTTGGGTAGGAGCCATTTTTGGCACTGTTCCTATGCTCCAAATAGGGGTAAGAGCAGTCATCTTTTAGGAAATTGGTACTTTCGAGGATTCCATTGTAGGCATGGATTCACTTTTAAATTAATGAACTTTAATTGCTATTTTTCCTTGGTGAGGCCGAGATTAGAATGAGGTAATGTCTAGTGAGAATCCGAAAGGTGAAAAATTAATATAGCTAGACCTCTTACTTTGCGAAAAAGAGAATGCGAGCCCCGGTCAAAAAGCGTAAGATGAGACTTGGGTATCTTTCGAAAGAAACGGCGTTCTCGTGCCAACATGACAAGGGAAACTAAGCTTAAATTAATGAACTCGGAGGCTATCTCGAAATTTAGCTTTAGTCCTCCGCGTACTTCAAGTATACGTCAAAGCACAAATGTGCCGAGACGGTTTAGCTTAGTTGTGCACCATGTCTACTCTTTGCATAGGTTTAAATGATTGTTCCTAAATTGTGGCCTATTGAGTTCCTTGTTCCTAAGAATAGCCCTGAAGTTCCTGAATACATTGAGTCTTTGTTAGAATATTCCAATCTCTCAAAAGAAAGGGACTATCATTCTTATTCATGATCCATTCATTACCACCTTCACAAGTCCTTCTGATCAATAACTAGTCTATTTGTGTATGATGTCACTACTTTGAGGATGTTGTGAATAATTTGTCAAATATTTTAGCTAGAGTACAAAGATATAGTTTAGGGAAGGATTTTCTTGGTTTAGACTGCATGTTCTGTGAATATCCCTTTAACTACGTATGCAAGCTCATTGTTTTAAATTCCGTGTGGTGATTATCGTAAGTCCCGTTGTTCGATTTGCTTGAGGACAAGCAAAAGCTTAAGTGTGGGGGAATCTGATAAGTCTGTATTTAAACACGCATTTGATGCGAGTTGGAGTCGGATTTTGATAGTTTTCCTAGCTTTAAGGCGTTGCAAGTCTCAATTTTAGCTCAAGTTGTGATTATCAGGCGTTGGATCGAGTTTCGTTGCAATTGGAGTTGAATTGAAGAAGTTAGAGTCCGGTAATCGGCGTTTGAGAGGCATTCGGGAAGGATTTGAAGGAATTAAGAGAAGATTTGAGAGATTTGGAGGTCACCGGGAGATTCACGACGAAATTCTGATGAAGAAAGAGCATTTGGATCGACCTCGTAGGCATCCGGGAGCATTTGGAGCAAGAAACGGCGAAAAAAGATGAAGAAAAGGTCAGGCACGACCGTGCCTGGGCAGGCACGATCGTGCCTGCATAGAGGATGGCACGGTGCCTTTCTGCCAGCCAGGCACGATCGTGTCCTGGCCAGGCACGATCGTGCCTCCAACCGAGGCGCGCGCATGCTCCGCAGGCACGGTCCCAGGCACGATCGTGCATGGCGTCGTGCCTGGCCCCGTTTTGCCCTAATACAGCTCAAATTCTACTGTTTTCTATAAATAAAGCCTCCATACCCCTTTTTGAGGGTTACGAACTTTGTGGAGAGGCTTAGGACGAGTTTTACCTGCGTTTTTACGTTGTTTACTTCGAGAACCTGGGATTCTTTGTAAGTTCAATTCTTTTAATTAATGACAGTTTATTCTATTCTTCCCAATTCTGTTGATTCGTCAATTATGAATTGTGAGTAGTTTAATTAGGGATTTGGGGTTAATGAAGGGGTTAATCATGATTGAAGGCTAGATTCTCTTCGGTTTAATTGCATGAATGTCGTTTAATTTGTGTTTGAATAATTTAACTAATATCTTTTGTAACTTAGAATCGCGACTAGAATTACAATTATATGTAGAATGAATTAAGAGATATCTAATTTGTTCTAGGACACATTCACACACACTTAATCGTTCGCTAAGAGATTAGTAGCGATTAAGGGGCCGTAAGCTCGCTCGTCTTGGCAATAATTTAATTAGGATCTTGTCGCATGAGAGATCTGCCTGGTCCCCTAAATTATTGTACTCTGCGCCGCGAGAGCGGTAAGAACTTAGTATGATTAGCTAGGCTCAATTAAATTAAATTCATGTAATTAGGCCTGTTCTGCCAGAAATCTGGTTAACCCCGGAATCAATTCATGTTCTCTTCGTCGTTAATTAAGGAAAAACTCAATCTTTTTATTTGCTCATTAGCATTAGTTTTATTTTAGTCAATCAACCAATCTCGCACAATTGCATTTTATTTCATTTATTTCTTTTTTATCGCTGAATTTAGTTAATCTTTAATTCTCTTTTGTCCGTCCCTGTGGAGACGATACTCGTACTTTCAATCACTTTTCTACAACCATTTTAAGTGCGAGAAAACACTCATCAGTCATTTTAACAAACATGTCATAAGCATTGTATGTTATATATTTTTTTTGAGAGAATGGAACATAGTAATTGGACTGAAATTTCAATAATTAGCACCACAGTATCTTACAATAGAACAAAATACTCAAAATTTTAATGACATAAGACACAAATCCGGAAAAATAAATAAATCCAAAAGATGCATAAGAAAAATCGGAATATATTATTTCCTCATTAATAATACTTTTGAGAAAAATTGTACATCATAGAGAGAATACTTCATCACATTCTTGTATACGGCAACTTGATTAGAAGATAGATGGGGAAATAGTGGACAAACAAGAAAAAGAGATGAAGAAAAGAAGCTTGGGAGGAGAAATGGAAGAAGAGTCGTAGATATGCAAGAAAGGGGCAGAGAAAGAGAGAGAAAGGGGTTGGGTGGGATTCTGGAAAGGGGTAAATCAAAGAAAAGAAAGGGTAAAAATAAATTAAGGGGCTTTTATATAGTGTACAATTTGTGTACAATATAAGTACGGGAAAACTGTCAAATATGTCCTCGAACTTTCATAAAAAAGACAATTAAATCCTTCTATAGGAGACTCTGTCCAGTCATTGTGATTTGGGGTGGTTCCCGGTGGAATTTTTTGATGATTTTTTTTGACCATCTTATTCATCAAGTCTAGTTTACTCATACCAAATTTCAGCTAAAAATTTAATTGGGAGCGCATTCAAATTAATTCGAGAACGCAAAAATGCGCAGTTTTCTTCAAGAATTAATTTGAATGTGTTCCTAATTGAATTTTTAGCTGAAATTTGGTATGAGTAAACTAGACTTGGTGAATAAGATGCTCAAAAAATTTCATCAAAAAATTCCACCGGGTTCTGTCCCAAATCGCGACGGCCGGACAGAACCTCCTATAGAAGGACTTAATTGACCTTTTTATAAAAATTCGATGACCTATTTGACAGTTTTCCATACAGTTAGCATTTTCGTTATAGGTATGGGGCCATGGGGGTGACATTTTCGTTGTTGAGCCTGTGGCAAGAGTGAAAGTAAATTCAGAGGTAAAAAGAAGAGCGGCTAGTAATTTTAAGTTCGTACACTAATGGAAACTACTCAGACATAATTTCTCTCTCATCCTCATCTATCTTTCTAACTGGTTTTTATTTTTACGCACTACTGTTCTCCTTCCATTTCCTATTTCCCATCGGAAAACCCTAGTTTTAACTTGTAGCATCCTCCATTCCAAGTATGTTGATGGATAGAGATCAGGAGGTATTTCATCACCTTATTCGATTCTCGTTAATTACTTGAAACTATCGCTTAAGTATTTCGACTGTTTCATCCGCACCAAGGATTGTTTTGCTCACATGCTGTTAGCTCAATTGGATTTCAAATAAATCAAGCCCTTCCTTTTCCTGACTGCCTTGAATTGCTTTGTTTCATCGGTTACTTTGATCTTTGCAAGGTCCATATACCAAAACGCATGTTGTCTTCACGTTGCTCTTTATTGTCACTGTTGATCGTAAGGATTTATGAATCAGATTTCGGATTTGGGCTACCCTTTGATCATATTCAAAACTCCCAAGTAAAACTGTTCGTGCTGCTTTCTTAAAGTTTTTCTTTTGCAGGCAGGACTTTTGTTTTAGATTGTTGATAGTGTAATGCAGAGATAATGGAAGCTAATGGTTGTGATGATAATAACTTGGATACCGATGTGCTTCTGCCGCCAAGGAAGAGACTTCTAGCCGGATTGAAGAAACAGAACTGTGATATCAATCTACACTCCCCATCCTCATCATATGACATGGGCAATAATGTTACTGGTATTGAATTTGTCACCCGTCTAAATAAATTGTTGAGATCTCATTTGAGTAACAACAGTCTCTCAAATGAAGAGATCATTGAGGCCTCAAGAGTTGATGCCGCTGAAGCAGCTAAGGCTGCAAGAAATGCCAAAGCTTTTGCTGAAGAGAAAGCTGCAAAGGCAGCAAAAGCAATAATGGCCGCTAAGGCTGCTTTAGAATTAGTCTCCAATAGTGATGAAGAAGCCGCTAGTAGAAATAGTCAGTCAAAGAAGAACAAGATGAAGAAGCATGTTGCAGTTCATACATTGTACAATAAGAATAAAGCGGCTGGAAGTTGTATGTCGGATGAAGAACTGGCTAAGAAGTTGCATAGGGCCATAAACAGTTCCTCCAGAACTCGCAAGCAACACAAGAGGCTCAAAACTTTGCCACTCTGTGAAACATCTAAGGTTTCTTCTACTTCTATTGAAAGAATAATTCAAGCTGATAGATCAAAGATGGAAAATGGAGAAGGGTTACAAGTTAGTAAGTCGAACTTCATTGTGGTGGAAAGTGGGAAAGAAGTGGCAAATGACTTAAAGAAAGTAGATGAAGAATATGTGCACAATTTTGGTAGTGTTGGGAAAAAGAAAGGAAGGTTTAAACAGAAAAAGTTACCCCTTAGCATTTGTAATTTTAGAGATCAAGCAAGCCCCCAAGAAAAAGTGAAATCTAAAACTTCATGTCCAATTAGAGAGAATGTGATCATGGCCACTTCTACAGCGACTAACAATAAATCCTTATTTCCTGTTGAGAGAACGCCGACGTGGAAATGCCAAGCATTCAAGGAACCTACTACTTGCCTCAACCAAAATAATCCCATGCACTCATAGTATTTAGGTTTCTATTTCAAGAGGACCGCCTACCAAGGTGTAGTTTGATGTCAGAGGTAGTTACTGCTTATGCTTGCTTACTTTTCTTTCAAGGAAAATGCTAGGGGTACACAAGTTGTACACAAGTTGTACACACAATGTCGGTCACAGACAATTGGTACGGAGTTGCCTGTGATCACAGACAAGAGTTGTCTGTGTACACAGACAAATTTTGTCTGTCTGCACAGACATTTATTTTTTTGTAAAAAGTACTTGTCAATGTCAGGCGGCTCTCAGTGTACTTTTTACAAAAAAGTAAATGTCTGTGGAGACAAACAAAATTTGTCTGTGTACACAGACAACTCTTGTCTGTGGTCACAGGCAACTCCGTACCAATTGTCTGTGACCGACATTGTGTGTACAACTTGTGTACAACTTGTGTACCCCTAGCATTTTCCTTCTTTCAAGGACCCATTTGATACAAGTTAGTTCGCTGAATCTGTTGGATTCTCGTAATCGAAAAAATTTGGTAAACCAATTTTAGCCAAATACGTAAGACAGAAGATTCTTGCTATTTACTGATTAGCCTGCATATTCTTCTATTAAAAGAAGAGCAATCTTATGAATGGCACCAATTAGGGTTTAAATTGGTTGTCATTTTCTATTTCCCTCTGTTTTAGCATTCCAATATAATTTTAATGTTGTGGAACTTGCGTAGAGGCTTGGTTAAATGTATCAAATACGGAGTATTTGAGGTTTGGCTTGGTTTACCATGGTATCGTTCACTCAAACGAAATGGTGTCAGTCATTAAATGAAATCGCAGTTTGTGTCTAAATTTAACAATATTTTGCTTAAGCGTTATTACAAACATAGGACATCTACTTTCATTTAGTACCCTATACAAACCCATTATGGAAAAGTGTTAGGGTGAATTTCAAAAGGCCATATGAGTTTTTGGGGATTATATGATGAACAAGAGTAACTTTGAGCTATCTAAGAACCCTTGGGGGGTTGGGTGGGGAGTGGTTATTTACTTATTTTTAATCAAAAAAGTTTGAGCGTTAAACTTGGTAGTGTTTAAAAATAGAAGATATAAAATGATAAATTAGTGTAAACTCAATATCTTTAGTCGTTTCAGTATTGCCAAAAGCCCAATGTAATAATTCTATTAATATGAATATGAAATGAACTGCTCCCCGCCCCCCTTCAAAATTCCCTCTCAATCAGACATTTGGGGGAGAAATGGTTAACTTTCCATTTAAATGTTTTGGCACATCTACTATTATTCTTTCCACCCTGCCAATACCTGAAGGTATGCTACTGACTATTTTCATCTTTGTTCCCTTCCTTTTATGCAGGTAAGCTCATTTACTAATGCATCTTTTTTGGTGCTTGCTTACTTGGAAGTTGTACATTTTAAGTTCGTCCGCCTCTTTACCTGGTACAGAGAAAAGCAAAAATACTAGTTGAATAAATAATCAAATGAGCTTTTGTTGTAATAAATGTTTGGCAGGGCTCTAATTAGCGTGTGTGGATTGCTATTGTTGGGAACTTCTTGTCTTTGCCCGAGGACGTTCCAAGTCATGGTCAGCAGTTTCTGAAGTGTAATTTTGGTCACCATCTACACCAGCAGTAGTTTTTATAATGTATAAGAGACAATTGGCATTAGTTTTTATAATGTATAAGAGACAATTGGCATTTGTGGCTGTTTATATATTTGATATAGCTCTGTAAAGAATCATTATATCATTTTTTCTGACCACCTTGTTTAGTTATGTTATACTGATGATATTTTCGTGAAACACTTGAGAACTTGAGGCTACTTGCTCCTATGGATTCGGATTTTTTTTTCACATTTTGTATTTCATTTCCTTGTTTGTGTGTCTAATATCTCTACTTGATTGGGGCTTTGTGGTGTAGCTAGTTCTAGCTTAGGGCTTGTTTGATAGTTTACATGTTAAATCTTTTGTACGCAAAATGATTGCATGCAATATTTATGGAGCAATCATTTTACATGTAAAATAAACTATATTGTTTGGCTAATGTGTAATTTTTTTTTTTTATTTGCTTGCAAAATATTTTACCAACACCCCCACGTAAAACAGTTTACATGGTACAGTGCGAATTGTTTTTTAAAAAGTGACTTACAATTCATATTAAATAATTCAACCAAATAGTGTAAACCTTTTACATCCTTGCACTTTGCATGCGAAATAATTATTTTACCTCATACCAAACACTCTGCGAAATAAGGGTGCTGTGATAGCTTGAGTTGGCCTGAAAATGAGTTAGGTACATGTTAGAATGTAGTGTTCCAGACCCATGCCCGTTAAACTCTATGTTGTTTTAGACCTGACCATATACTTGTAAGGTCTAGAACTCTTGTTTCGGATCCATATCCACCGGGTCTCGAAATTGGGCCGGGTAGACCCGCCTTATATGTGGGTGATAAGTTGTCAACTCCAATTTTTCTCAAATAAAAAGCAAGAACTCTAATTACAAATAAAGATTTTTTCTAAAATATTACTAAAATAAAACATGTGCAAAAATTGGGACAAAACTGATTGTGGATATTCTTTCATAATCATTATGATGTAAGACTTGACCACAATATAGTATTTTGACTTTCTTTCTTGGGATTTAACCCATTTTAGTATTTTGGTATTATTAATCCTCTCCTCCTCTCCTCCTCTCTCATCTCATACTCATCATTTATCCTTCTCTTCCTCACTCCTAGTTTATATCTATTTTCTCCGTCGATCTTCTATTTTTTATTGTCACACACTTTGTACCTTCTTCATTAATCTTTGTTATTGTCTCTACTCCATTGTTGACCTAACTCCCTTCGTTCTTCGGTTAACTGAATTTGTTAGTCCATATATGTGAAGCAGATGATCTAGATCTAAACCCTAGATCTATAGACCACCCCTTCAACCCTAGACCTGGCATCCGACGTGCATGGATTGGAATACTGAACAACAAGAATCATATAAAAATGACACCCCATCCCCGAGGCCCCCCAACACCGACCGGACGGCACGATGGGAGGATGTAAATTGGACTATAATCACAATCTGACAGATAGAGAGTGGGGCTCCGTCCCCAGTATTTGCAGAGGCCCTATGCATTTTTAGCATAGTAACCTCTCATCGTAGTTGCCGGGATTCGAACCCGGGACCTAACCCTTGTGGCACTCCCTCGTTACCAGTTGAGCTATGCCCACCGGTTTGAAAAAAGATGGGCCTCTGATCATTTCAAATAGTAAAGCGGATGCGATAGAGGACGGTGGAGAAGATCCGGCGAAGCCTATAGGGACAGAGAGTGAAGAGGATCTGACGATGCTTATGGTTCCATATAGCGAATAGGAGATGGAGGTGGACCATGAAGTGGCTCAATGACGTAGAAAGTTTGAGACTAACTCTATTCAGAACCTAGGTCTGGAGGGCTTCTTATAATTAATTCTACCGAAATGGCAAGCAAGGATGTGTGATGTTGACAGAAGATATGGGAGTCTCTTACTTGCTCTATCTTATTTCTAATTCTATGCAATGAATCCATACTTTGAAATTTCCCCTGTTTGTGTGTGTTTGGTGTAGCAATGATGAATAAATGATGTTTTTAATGCTTGTGTGCTGGTTGTTTTCTACTATGATGCTTGTGAGTATGCTGGTTCGAAAGTTTATGGCTAAAATCTTGTAGTGGTGGTGTGAGAAAAATCTTGTCTCACTATTATACTATGATGACCAATAAGGTCTGAGTTAAGACCGTGCAGTGGCATTGAGATGAATACATTTCATATGGTAGTTTGATACTATATTTGCACGGTAGTCTTATCTCTTTACCTACTATGTTGAATTGATGACCATTAAGGTCTGAGTGAGGGTTGTGGGGTGGTAGTATGATGATAATGCTGTGTGAAGTACTACTTGTATAATACTATGAGAAAATATTAGCTCAATACCTATTACGATGACCAATAAGGCCTGAGTAAGGGTTATATAGTGTTACTGTGATCGATCAATATGTTGTCTGAGATGGTTGTTTGGTATCGTGCTAAAAATATTGTCTCGGTATGTATTGTGTTTGTAGTGTGCTGAATATGGCAGTGCACTTTGGTAATGTGAGGATTGAATGAGGCCATTGATTGTAATTCTAGTTTCGAAAAGGTGTATGTTTGATGATGAACATCTCAACATGTGTAACTAGCTACTCCTATGAGTGTAATGCATGGTTATTTACAAGTTTGAGCACATCACACCCTTTAGGCATGTACAAAAAGGACAAAAATATAGGCCATACAACCTAACCCAAAACCAAAATAGTCATTTGGAATGAGTTCATAACGTAACATGGAGTTCATACTCCTTTTGAATTATGAACTACCCGTGACTTTCCTCTTGTATGGCATTAGAAGAGGTTGGTTCTTGGGACAACAACCTTGTTGTCGCTTCTACATATCCCACATCTACCTCAATGGCAATGAGCGGTCTTCCTTATGTGATCATCTTATCCTTTTCATGGTGTGATACTTTGTAGATGTTCCCCATCCACATTCATTACTTCCACCACCACATACAGATACGTTAATCACACCTTGTTCAGAGTGATGGGTGATAGCAGGTAGAATTCCTCATTAACGTACTACATTCAACAGTTCGTCAACATTCTTGGGTGTATTCTCATTTTTTCAAGACACTATGGCATTAGATTAGATACCTATTAAATGGATTACTATTTCGGACTTAGAGTCACACCGTTATATGTTTCAATTTTACCATGAGACTGACCTTTACAGAGTCCTTAATGTGGGCCCTGGTTATTTGATCAAAATCTTATTGTGCTACGTAAGCTTCAAGAAGGTGATCTTCCTTTATTTGTGCCATTAAATTTGGCGGAATTTTGGGTGCAAGTTCATCGTTAACTGATTGGTTATTTTACTTTAGATGTGGCTGAAAGAATTGGAAATAGATTAGAGACACTTATAAAAATGGATGTACATAATTTTTTAGCTTCCTAGAATCCTTTCATTCGAATTAGGGTGGCTCGTGACGTGGGAAAACCACATAAGAAAGGTTTAAAATTGCATAAGGGGGATGGTTAAGTGTTTGGGTCAATAACTATCATGAGAAGCTCCCTAACTTCTGTTTTTGCGTGCAGTTATTGGTCATGCAGAAAGATATTGTCCCCATCCAATGGATAAAAGTGAGAAAGGAAAAGCTAATTTGGGCCTTGGCTGAGAGCCTCGAAGGATAGAGTGTAATCAAAAGGAAACATGTGGTTAATCCAGTCAGGAAAAGATACTATGAGCGAGCAGGTTGCGCACAACATGATGCATGATATGAGTTATGTTAAAGATGACGCAAGGGAGGAAGAATATAAGATATTGGTTCATGGCAGTCACTCTGAACAAAAGAGGAAGCGAGTTGAGGAGGTGGTGCAACCAGACTCTAGTACCAGAATGGAGGTGGAGTATACTCCTCCAAAAAATGGAGAAGAGGTGGACTGTCTGGTGATGGCTCACCAAACACAAAATTAAGGATGCTGCTGGGCAGGAATGGGGTTGGAGAAAGGCTGACAGGGCAGTGGACCCATTTCTTATTTGTTTACCTTTTTCTTCGTTTTTTTGCTATGTCGTACTTTTTTATTTGAATAATACTTCTGCGTTTTAGGTGAGTTTTGAGAATGTTGATTGTTTTGTAAAGACCACCTATTTGTTCGTTTACCGGGTTCGGCACGAAATCATAAATAAGCTCTACCAAGGATTGCCAAGCATTTGGTACTGAGTTTCCTCCTCCCTTTTTAGTAACAAAATAAAGCAGTAGGACCAAACTGAGAGTGAGCAGCATAAAGAAAGATGGATTTGTGAATGAGAAATACAAGCCTCCTATATTTATAGGAATCAAGGGGATACTCGAAATGCCATAAAGCGCGAACCAAGATCCATAATACGAAAACCAAAATCAGAATGAGGAAGAAAAATATATCGGTAATACCTCTCATTTTCACTCGAGTCACTTCTATCCTATGAGCTACTCACTTGTACGATGGGCTGGTATTGTGGGAGTAAGTAGTTTGGCTTCTAAGGCCGGCCGTTACTTCGAATCTCTCGCAGGTCCAGAAAAGAGTGTTGTTCTTTTTAGGAAGAGGTCTTACGTGTATGAGCTAGGAGGAGAGATGTTTTGTGTTGTGGAGAGGTTTTGAGTGCTTGGAACATTATTAATACTATGTAATAGTTAAGGGTTCCCCTTTCAAAAAAAAATTCTGGGCATGCTTCGCAATCATCGTTTAACGGTTAGTGAATTGTGTTAGCGGACTATTGGTATCGGGTTTAAGTGGTGGATTTGTCTGGAAAATTAATTTGGCGGCTTGCGTCATGATGTTTGGTAAATTAGATTGTTTTGTCTTAGCGGTTAGTTGGTAAGAAAAATATAATGACATTATTAAATTTCAATAGCAAGTTAGGTATCTCTTATTTCGACTGCTACTACTAACTTATTCATTAATTCTCAAAAAAAAATTGATGTTTAATTTGTTCAACGGTTCAACCGAATCGAAACCACAATTATTAGAGGATTTATCCTCAACTAATACTGAGGATATAACCATCTCCAAACTCATATTTAACTATGAAGTGCAGCGAGCCTATAACGGGAAGCAAAAACTCCTCTCCCTTGAGAAACAACCACAAATTCCACTTCTTCAGGCTTACTCTGACGCTTCAGACAGCTTTGAGCATTCCGATGAATCTTTCTTCTCAGATGATTTTCTAGGTCATGCGACTGAAAGTGATCGTCGCCCTCCTTTATCAAACCAGGAAGAAATCAGGAACTCCAAATTCAACAGAACGATTTGCCGCAAAGCAAAGCTTGTCACCTCCGA